GGAGCTAGAGGCGTGGAGTGACTTCAGCCGGTAGCAGACTCACTACCTAATTAGGTTCTTAATTCCTAACTGAAGTCCAGAACTCATCTGAAGATACCACTGATGGCATGCTACTTATATACAAGCGGCGGAGTCCACTAATTAGATAGGTGTTCGGGTATAATTGTTCTGAGGGGCTGTTTCAGAGGGGGGTCGGAATCAATTGCAGTGTCAGTAAAATATATACTGTTTTATACGGTAATTTTCGAAAGGTAATTAACTTTTCCCCTATTTTCTATGTTATGAGCCAATCAGAAAGTAATAGTATGTGAATTGGAAAGTGATTTATTACTCTATAAACTTTAGACCAATCAGAGAAAAGTAAAACTAAAACTTAGCAAAAAGTTAAGAAAACATTAATAACTTCTTAATTAGTTGAGCTATTGAGCTAAGATTCAAAAGTATTAAAGAGGACATTTTAAAAGACTAAAAATAATAATTTGTTTCATATTTACTAATTTATTTAATTTAAATAAATTAGTTTAAAATTCTAAACTCAAGGGAGACGCGAACTCGGGTATTACGCTTCACTATGTGAAACGCTAACCACTAAGCCAGTGAGGTAATGTTAATCAATAGTTGAATAAATAGTGTTTTCTATTTACTAAGTGATGCTCTGGATGAGTTGCTATGGGTAACGGGAAGACTAGTGCTTTGCTATATAATACTATATAGCAATTCTATATAGAGAGTCAGTCCTTTACATTGAATATTGATTATATACAAATACATTGAATATAATATTAAATAGAATAAATATAAGTTATAATATAAATAATTATTAATTAATGGTATTAATTAGTGATTCATCACAATATTAATATAATATTTTAGGATTTAACATTCATAACATTATATACTAATCGATATATTATTTGTTAAATATTTTTATTTTATTTTTTTAAAAATTTAATCAATCAAAAAAATCAAAAAGTGTCAAGGTGAAACATGGTCATTGGCTGTCGATATGCAATTGTTTATCATATCACCATTGTTAATATTACTACTAACTTATAATGATATTAGGTAATAATAATAATAATAATAGTTTTTATTATTTAAAAAAATTAATTAAATTAAATTCAAAATTACAAAAAATGAATATATTCTAAAATATATTTTTTAAAAATTATTTTCTTTTTAGACTAACAATTGGCGTTATATTAAATGTATTATTAGTTATTATCAGCTGTTTATTACAATTATACAAAATTTTAGCCTATAATTTGCCACCGATTGTCACCAAATCATATGTGTATAAAATAAATGATTTTTTTGTTGAAAAAAATAATTATATATTTATATTCTTTAAATGATTATTATTATTTTCAATTAATTAATTAATTATATTTTTTATTTTGTGTATACAAGTGATCCAAATTTTTATCATGAAATCTATTTTTCAACCTTAACTCGTTTGGGTCCCTATTGTGTGGGTATACTAACAGCTTATGTATATAAAAAATACGGAAATAATATTACTATAAAACCGGTATTTATGAAAAAATAAAAATAATAATTTAAATATTTTATTAATTTAAATTTTAAAAAATTATTTTTTAGTCAATTAACATAACACTATGGCTAACTAGTATTAGTCTATGGCTTACAATAATATATTTGCCACACTATTGGGATGACGATTATAATTTAGCTAATAGTCACTACTATTTGGTTGGCCTACTATATGGTTCAACCAGTGAAACACTGATGGCCATAGTATGGGCCTATATATTGTATGCCTGTTCAACAGGTAATGGCGGTCCAATCAATCGGCTATTGTCGTGCCAGGCATTACAACCACTCAGTAGACTATCGTTTCAATCCTATCTCTATCATGTATTTGTTATCTATGTCTATATGTATAGTTCACAGCAAACAATCTATATGACCCAGACTAATTTAGTAAGTATAGTAACATACACACACACACACACACACACACACACACATAAATAATTATTAATATTATAATTATTTTATTGTTAATTTTTTTTATTATATATATAAATATATATAGATTTTGCTATTTTTACAAATGTTTGTTTTGACACAATTGGTCAGCTATTTGGCATATATTATGTTTGAATCCCCATTCAATTGCATTGAAAAATATTTAATGACAACAATTACTACTACTACTACTACTACTAAAAAATCAATTATTATTAATAAAAAGAAAACTAATTAATTAAACAATATTATATATATAGTAGTTATCTAAACAAAAAAAAATATATTAATGACAACCAAAATACAATAACTATTATAGCTATTAATCTATTATATTATTTTTGTTGTTGTCTTTTTGATTAGTAATCACAAATTAATTATTTTTTTAAAAATTTTAAATTCAAATTACTTACAGTACACATACTATTTAAATATATTTTTTTAAAAATAAGGTTAAAACAGTTTCATATATTATAAATTTTTTTGCAAAAAAAATTATAATTTATTTTATGTTTTTGTTGTATTTATTATAGTCATTGTATTACTAAATATTTATTTTATTTTATTTTTTATTACAAATAAATATCTAAGATAACTCAATGAATATTTTTAAAAAAAAAATAAAATAAAATAAATTAAATATTTAATCATTAATTAAGCTGAAAATATTTTCTATAATGATTTTCAAATAGCAAATTAAAGATAAAATATTTAATATTATATTTTCTTACAGTAGAAATTAAAAAAAAATTAGTGAAATATTTTAGTTTCTAATAAAATTTATAATATTTTCAACCATTTAAAAAAACATTTATTTAATTGATATAATAATATGATTATGCGAATTTTTTAAAAAATAATTATAAGTAAAAATAATATCTCAATAATAATAAAATATTAAATATCTTCAATAATGATTTTCTAATTATTGATTAAATTTATTATTAACAATAATTGTAGTAAAAAAATTAAGATTTTATTATTTCATTTTGAAATAAACATAAATGTTTTTTAGTTTCTATTGAAAACTAATATTTTCAAACATTGTAATAATAGTAACTATATTTTACAATTTTTAAATATTTTATTTTTTTAAAAAAAATTAGATAAATATTTCGAGCATTTAATAAAAGTTATTACAATATTTTTTCTGTTTATTCGTATTTTATTAAAAATTTTATTTAACAAATTTATTAAAATAGATTTTTACGTAAAAATAAATTAAATAATATCAACTATGTTAACAAAATTATTAAACATAAGTATATTAATTAGTTTATTAATTATTATTTCTAATGATTATCAAACAAATGGAGAATTAATTTCTGAATTAATTTACAAAAATAATTATTTAATGACACAATTGTTGAATTCAATACATAAAAGCAATGTTAGTTCAAAATGCAAACAAATTGGCGACTATTTGGTGGACAATCCGTACGATATAACAACAATTAAATGTAATCAACAGATTTAAAAAAAACTTTTCATATTTTTATTTTATGTTTTTTATTGTACAGTAATAGATTCAAGTGCTAGCTTTGGCACAGGTATTATAAGCGGCAACTATCAGCTTATGGGTCAATATCGGCAATGTTTAGATCATAGGGTCGACACTGTTAGCCGGGATAAGAGTCCAATACGTTTTGATGGCCAGTATTGTACACTAAACATACCGTTTGATTATTTTATTAAAGATTGTCTTCTATCTAATGAAATGGTATTTGAATTGACTTTTTTTGTGTTAAAAAAATAATTTATTTATTAATTTATTTATTTTTAAATAATAGAAATCATCATTAAATGAATTATCTGTTACCTCAACATTTGGTATATGTATACCAAATGTTTGCAATGATAATGATTTGTCTAATATACTAGAAACTTGTAAATTATTATTATTATTATTATTAATTTTAAAATATTAATTATATTAAATATTCATCTATATATATATATATATATATATATATATATATATATATATATATATATATATATATATATATATATATATATTGTAACCGTGTTTATCTACCAGTACACTGTTTAGTTAGTTATAGACATGTTTGGTAAGGTATGTGACATACAGTTCCGTCCCACACTGTTATTGGACTGACGGTTGAGTTGGTGCGCACAACTCAGCTGTTGGTGGGGTATAACCAGAGAGGGTGGGCGAGTGAGGAAAACAGAACAGTTTCTAGATGTACGGTAACAACTCGGTTCCGCCGCCATCAAATTACCTATAACCTTTATTGTTGTATTTTTAATTGTGAGTTTAGTTGTGTTTAAAATAAATATAGCCTATGAGTGAATAGTATTGTATAATCATTGTGTTGGCAACCGAAACTACGACTGGGAATTGGTTGGACGACCGCCCGATAGGGAGAGGTCTCTGAAGACAACAATAGGACGAGTGAAGAAACGATGGAGAAGAAGCCGACGACGTCTGACCAGAAGAGGACAGGTTTGTGTATTGCCATAATATGCACTTATACTGCTTATTAACAAAATTATATTTAAAATACTGTTTTTAACATTCAGCAAAAAAACAGTTAACATAAATTTTTCTACTATTTTTATTTGTTTAAATAAAAGCATATAGTTAAAAAACATACAAAATTACAAAAACAACTTAAATACAAAAAAAAAATTTATTTTAATATTCATTTTATATTTGAAATTATAATATAAGCCAAAAAGCAGTTAATCTAAAATTACTGTACTATTTTTACAAAACATTAAAGCATAGAAGTTAAATAATAAATTAATAGAAAATATTTCAAAAATTATTTTTGTGCTTAGAAAATACAAAAAAAAAACATTTTTTTGGCTCTGTTTGAAAATTATTATTTTTACTGGTATTTAAGTTTTTGTCAGTATAGCAGTTATTTTTAGAAAAACTAAAATAAGACTACAAATGCAAATAAGTGCACAACACAAGAACAAAAAAAAAACTCAGAATCATAAGTAAAACTCTTGATATACACTTGTGCTCTGTGTTACATCAGACAAAAGCATCAAAACTACATGACTCGGCTCTGGCCGGTCGATTGATCTGAGTGTTCCTCTAATTGAAAGACCAGATAATACCAATGAAACCGCGGTCACAATGACCACACCGAGTACTACGCCTAATAAAAGAGATCAGGAGTCATTTATGACACTCAACGTATCAGATCCACAACAAGCAGCTCTACTACAACAGGCGGAAACGGCAGCAAATCGTATCTGTAAAGTATTGAAAGTCAATCAAGAAAATGAAAGGCTTATGGAAGAGTACGAACGTCTGGCCAGTGATCTACTTGAATGGATCCGTCGCACCACTCCGTGGCTCGAAAACAAAACCACTGATAATAAGCTGTCAGCTGTACAGGAGAAGTTGGAAGAATTCAGAGTTTATCGCAGAGTCCATAAGCCGCCCCGTGTCGAGCAAAAGGCTAAATTGGAGACCAACTTCAATACATTGCAAACAAAACTACGTCTAAGCAATAGACCCGCTTATATACCAACTGAAGGCAAAATGGTTTCCGATATCGCAAACGCCTGGAAAGTACTCGAGTTTGCAGAGAAAGGCTTTGAAGAATGGCTGTTGTCTGAAATGATGAGACTCGAAAGGTTAGACCATTTGGCACAGAAATTCAAGAATAAAGCCGATACACATGAAGACTGGACAAAAGGCAAAGAAAATATGCTTCAAAGTCAAGACTTTCGCAATTGTCGTCTGAATGAAGCTAAGGCGTTGAAGAAAAAACATGAAGCCTTTGAATCGGATTTGGCCGCACATCAGGACCGAGTCAAGCAAATTGCTGCCATCGCTCAAGAATTAAATTCATTGAATTATCACGACTCGACTACTGTGAACGCCCGGTGCAAACGCATCTGTGATCAATGGGATCGATTGGGAACTTTGTCGCAAAAAGGATCCGCAGCACTGGAAGAAGCCGAATGTGTTCTTGAAAAAATCGATACGTTGCACCTGGAGTTTGCCAAAAGAGCCGCACCGTTCAACAATTGGTTGGACGGCGCTCGCGAAGATTTAGTTGATGTTTTTATTGTGCACACTGTAGAAGAGATCCAAGGATTAGTCGAAGCACACGATCAGTTCAAACAGACTTTGGGAGAGGCAGACAAAGAGCACTCAGCTATTATATCGCTTTCTCAAGATGTACAGTCTATCGCAACTCAATATCAGATTCCCGGAGGAATAGAAAATCCGTACACAACATTGACGGGACACGACATCACTATCAAGTGGAGCGAGGTTAAACAATTAGTGCCAAAACGGTATCAGACTCTTCAAAATGAACACATGAGACAACAGCGCAACGAAGGACTTCGTCGTAAATTTGAAGAAAAGGCCAACGGAGTCGGTCCGTGGATTGAACAGCAAATGGATGCGAGGGCAGCCATTGGAATGGGAATGTCAGAAACTCTCGAATACTTTTTAAGCAAACTCAAACAATACGAGAAAACAGTTAACCAATACAGACCTAAATATGCTCTTGAAGGGGAGAATAAGGTCTCAACTGATCAGATCAATGCTAATGATATGCAACAAATAGCTTCGGCCGTTAATACCAACCCATCAAATACACCGCCACTTAAAATAGCAAACAATAGGGTTAACATTGGCTCAACATCAGATCTAGCTCTGGCAGATATGTCTGAGGCCAACCAAATGGCAGCACATCTAAAGTTTAATAAGCTATCAATGAGTATGGAATTTGTTGGAATGGTTAACCCACCTAATCAATCGACGCCTTCACCCAGTCCTCCGCCAAACGATGACCAAAACCTTTTTGCTAATCAACAGAAGCTTATGCAACAACAACATCAACAACTGAATGCATACCAACAGAAGACAGTCCGGACTCGAATCAGTGACGAACAGCTCAAAGTCCTCCGACAATACTTTGATATCAATAACTCTCCGACAGAAGAACAACTGCTAGAAATGTCTGAAAAGTCAGGTTTGCCCCTCAAAGTTATTAAACATTGGTTCAGAAATATACTGTTTAAAAAGCGACAGGCGGCTAAACGCAAACTATCGGAGGACGAGGGTTCGCACGATTACTATTCACTCAGTAGTATTAGCCTCTCCAGTGATCACCCGGAAGACAAGAGACTTCGCATTACCGAAGTTCTCGGCAATGTATGCGAAGCTAAGGTAGGAGACCTAAAAGAGCGATCGGAAGTTCAGTTCCGAGTGGTGGCCATAAACAAAGCCGGACCGAGTGAACCAAGCGATGCAACTAAAATGCATTACGTTAAACATAGACGTCTTAAACCATATATTGATCGAACAAATCTTGAGATGATTACTATAAAACGGGGTAAACAAGTGAAACTCGATGTCAAAGTTAGGGGCGAACCGCCGCCGGTTATCAATTGGAAACTCATCGATAATGAAGTTAAAAGTGACGACAATTATGACATCGTTGACGTTGACTACAATACAAAGTTTACTCTCAATGATTGTCAGCGAAAACACAGCGGAAAATATAAAATAATAGCTGTGAATGAGGTCGGAAAAGATGAGGCAGAGGTCGAAATATGTGTGTTAAGTGCACCGACAGGACCTAAAGGACCGCTTAAAGTCGATAACGTGACCGCAAAAGGTTATGATCTTCATTGGCAGAAACCAGAGGATGACGGCGGACGACCCATTCAGGGATATGTCATCAAAAAGTTGGATCCATTTACTGGCAGTTGGGTGCCGTGCGGTCGTACAGACAAAGACAATACTGATTTCCAGGTGACTGGCCTTCAGGCGGGAAAGTTCTATCAGTTTAGAGTCAAAGCTATTAACTCTGAGGGAGAGTCCGAACCTTTGTCTTCAACCGAACCGATTTTAAATAAGAATCCGTACGAATCGGCCAAAGCTCCATCAAAACCAGATATTGTGGACTGGGATGAGAAACACGTAGATCTTGTATGGAAACCACCTAAAAACGATGGAGGTGCGTCCATCACGGGCTATATTGTCAAAGTAAAAGAAAAGTTTAATAATAACTGGGAACCAGTTCTCGAAACTAAATCATCGAAACCCGAAGCATGTGTTGCAAGTCTTATAAAAGACAAAGAATATCAGTTACGTATTAAAGCTGTCAATAAGGCCGGAGCCGGTGGACCAACAAATACTCATATTTGTAAAGAACGCCATTTGAAGCCAACGATTAATCGCGAAAATCTTCAGCCAATCACTATCAGAGCTGAAAATATGGCTAAACTGGACATTGAGGTGTCGGAAGAACCGCCGCCGAAGATTACGTGGAAACATAAGGACTCGGAGTTGGGTTCGGGCGAAACATATACTATTGATAACATTGACTACAACACAAAATTCAATCTAATGAGATCCACGAGAAAAGAGACCGGAATTTATACTATAATTGCTGAGAATGTCAGCGGTATAGATGAGGCAACCGTTGAAATTAATATACTTGGAAAACCACCCAAACCTAACGGTGCTCTCGAAGTGAGTGATGTACACAAAGAGGGGTTTAAATTGAAATGGAAACCGCCCGATGATGACGGAGGACCTCCCATTGAATGCTATGAAGTGGAGAAAATGGATGAAGAAACTGGTCGATGGCTTCCGCGCGGTAAGGCTGAGGATTGTCAGGTGCAAGTGTCAAATCTGGTTCGCGGAAAAAATTACAAGTTTAGAGTCAGAGCCGTCAACAAAGAGAGCGATTCAGATGAACTCGAGACGGATCACTCAACTGTGGCTAAGAATCTGTTTGGTGAGCCGTTGAAACCGGGACGACCCGAACCAATTGGTTGGGACAAAGATCACGTAGACTTGCAATGGACTCCTCACGACGGCGGAGCGGCTATTGACGGGTATATTATTGAGAAACGCAAGAAAGGCATTCATAAATGGCATAAAGCGAAACAAACTCATACTCCCAACACTAAGGTTACTGTTCCCAATCTGGAAGAGGGAGAAGAGTACGATTTTCGTGTGATAACTGTCAACAAAGCCGGTCCGAACGAACCGAGCGGGACTTCACGCTCTGTCATCTCTAAACCTCGAAGATTAGCGCCGATTATTGACAGAACAAACTTAAAGCCAGTAATCATACAAGGCGGACAACCCGTCAAATTTGATGTCAACGTCAAGGGAGAACCGGCGCCGACTATTCAATGGACTTTCAATGGCAAACCACTCAAGACTGATGACACCCATAGCATCGAAACCGAACCAAACCATACATTATTTATGCTTTCAAAATCCAAACGCAAAGATACCGAAAGTTATACCATAACAGCTAAAAATGATTACGGAACCGATGAGGCTGTTGTCGAAGTCAAGGTGCTGTCCATACCATCTAAACCTAAGGGTCCTCTCGATATCAGTGATGTTCACGCAGAGGGCTGTCATCTTAAATGGGATGAACCTGAAGGTGACGGCGGAGAACCCATTACTGCTTATGTCACCGAAAAGATGTACACCGATACTGGCGGATGGATTCCGGATACCACAACACGTGAACCCGAAGCAGACATCACTGGACTTACTCCAGGAAAGCCTAATGTCAAAGAATGGGACAAACATCACGTGGATCTGACCTGGAAAGCACCCGATAGTGATGTCGGCGCCTCAACCACTTCATATGTTATTGAAAAGAAAGACAAATTCAGTACTAAATGGCAAAAAGCGGCCGAAGTTATTGACGACAAATGTGAGGCCAGAGTTGCCGATCTCATTGAGGGAATGGAGTATCAATTTCGTGTGCGAGCCGTTAATAAAGCCGGTCCTGGACCGCACAGCGACTCCAGCTATAGTGTTACTACAAAACCGAGAAACTTAAAGTCGAAAATAGATAATTTACATGATATGACTGTTCACGCGGGACAACACATTAAATTTGATGTCAAAGAAATCGATGAACAGCCGTCTAAAACACTGTGGTTAGTAAACAATAGCCCCATCAAAACGGATGGACACTTTGCAGTAGTCAACGAACCGTACAAAACAAAACTTGCAGTCAATCAGTCCGAACGCAAGGATACCGGTGTTTATAAGTTAACGGCTGAGAACAACAGTGGTAGGGATGAAGTAGAAGTTCCCATTGAGGCCTATATTATTGAGAGACAGGACACACAAACGGGACGTTGGGTTCTCCTGACGACCACTAAACTACCCGAAGCTGTTGTTAATAACTTAGCTCCGGGAAATGAATACAAGTTTAGAGTAAAGGCATTGAACGCTGAGGGAGAGTCACTACCATTAGAGACAAACATTGGTATTGTAGCCAAAAATCCTTTTGACACACCCGGCACTCCCGGAACATCTGAAATGACTAACTATGATAAGGATCACGTGGACCTTAAATGGGATAAACCAATGAAATACGGCGGTGAACCCATCAATGGTTATATTATTGAAATGAAAGAAGGAGACTCCACGCGTTGGGTTAAGGGAGGCGTCATTGACGGTGATGTCACTTCTGGACGAGTACCGGAGTTCGGAGTGAATGCAGCTAACGCCGCCGGACCGGGAGGGCCGAGCTCTGCCCGGAAACCCATACTCGTTAAGCCACGAAAGTTGCCGCAGCCGACTCCTCCTCAGTTGTCGCCAAAAAGGTCGTTAGCCGAAAGTGTGATACCATTGAAGGACGACAACGGCAACAAAACTATCGAAACGTATGTCCGCAAAGAAAACATATTGGATGTCGTCGAAGATGATAATAGACAACTGTTAGAACAAACAGTGGTGACACTGATGAAGGACGCGACAGACAAAGCAGTTGTCGACAAAATGTTTGACGTTTTGATGGCTGAAACAGATGACAACATTGTTGACATTAAATCGGCAAGTGGTAGCGGAGTCTATGTGCCCACCGATAGACCGCCGTTGGAAGAGACTAACAATGAACTGTACGATTGTTTCATACAAGAGTCGCAAGTGTTGGCAGAACTTAATGATATACTCGACAACAATGAGAGTGTGGATCAGCAAAAGGATTTGAACACAAGTCTTAGCAAATCAAAAGCAGCAGAAGTTGTATCCGAAAACACTACTCAAGAGTTCATAAGAAATTCGTTTCACGAGTTCATCAAAGAGATGACTCGAACGACCGATGAAGAGAAGATCCTAATCGATGACAAACCATTGATTGACGCCGAAGTCATAGGACAATTATCTGCAGATAACACTAATATTGTTGAGAAGACAACGACAACAAAGAGAACAACCGAGGAAAGGAAAACTGATTCAACTATTTTTGAAGAACATGTCGTTCAGTCGATATTCGACGAAGAAATGATCAAAAGTCAGGCAAAGACACAGATATTTGCCATCGAGTTATTCAAGAATGTCTTGACCGACAAACAGCTCCAGAAGGTTACTACGATTACGGAACCGGAAGAAAATAAGAAGAATATTGAGGACAGAATCTATAAGACTAGTGTCGACGAGTTTGCGATAAAACCAGTGGCCGATGAATTGCAGGCACCGGTGATGCCGACGACAGCAGAACTGGTTGATCAACAAACTGAAGTCAAATCAGAGCCGGAAACATCGCAATCAGTGACGATAGAAACGGAACAAGACAAGTGTGAACCGCCGATAAGTCCCGTCAGTCAGGAAACTATAGATCTTTTGATAGATACGTCTAAATTGTCGGCACTGTTACTCTTGCAACGTATCCAACAATCAATGATAGCCACGGATTCGTCGTCACCGACACCATCACCCGAAAATGTGGCCATTGAGATGGCCCAAACACTTCCAACAGTTAATTATGAAGCCATTCAAGTCATTCACGGTGTAACCGATGAGATTATTGCCATAAAAGACAAACTGGTGACTGAAGACAAGTCACTAATTGAAAAGTCCGAAACAATTATCAACAATTATTTTGCGAATTCTAATGATAACAAAGAAGACAATCGTCTGAACTCTGGGAGAATTCCACAGTTAGATGGTTTTGAAGATAATGATAGTGATGACTCTGTAGTCACCCTAGATCCACCAGAAACCAGTACAAATAATAAAGGGTTGAGTTTACACACGGAACCAGCCGACCATAATATCCGGTCTAAAAGCAACAATAATTTGACTGTCAAGCAAATTAAAAGGACCCGATTGACAGATCATCAGATCCACGTCTTACAAGAATTTTTTAAGATAAATGCCTATCCAAAAGGCCACGATTTGGAACACTTGTCTAAACAGTTAAATCTCCCTTCGAGGGTTGTTATGGTTTGGTTTAACAATAATAGGCGGAAAGCGAGAAAATTTGCTGAGATCTCTAAAACAAGAATACAAATAAATGAAACCACTGGTTCCCACTCCAACTCGAATAAAACCGACGTCAATCTCACCGATTCAGGAACAGTAATAGAAATAAACGGAGAACGACACGCGATAATCACACTGGCCAAGAATCCGGGCACCAACGAAACTTTTCTCATCTTCAGAAAAGGTAATGGAGAGCATTTCGCCGTAAAAGTTGAAATAGTGCCGAATACCAATCAGGCGTCTGATAACCAACACATCTCAACAAGTAACTCACAAGTGGCCGAAATTACTGGCCAACCTATGCCAGCCATCATCCCCTCGATCACATCTCCAAAACAATCGTTGACGAATACTGTTTTGGTACCAATTATTGATTCACTTCAAGTGGCGGAAGTTGCTGAAGAGACAGAAGTCAAGGAAGTAAATGAAAGAGGAACTGAAGAAACTGTCAGAGAGGATAGCATTACTGCTACCATAGTTAATTGCGAAGGCATAACTGCCGAACAAATGGCTCAACTGAGAGATGAGCTATACATACCATGTCTTAGGACGAAAACCGTATTTGAAAAGAAACTAACAGATCTATGGGGAAAATTAGACATTTCCCAAGGAGTTTATACTAAGGTCGAGAAAAGTAACGAAAATCAAGTAATTATTCAATCGATATCACAAGAAATTGGTAACGAAAATCAGGATATTGAATATAACATTCACGTACAACAACTCGATGACACTACAGTACTTCTTAGTTGGGATACAATTCTTTTGTACAACAAAGTCAAAGACACAGTATTTAACGTTGAAATCCGAGACAACACACAAAGGGTTTGGACCCATATCGACAGTTGTGATGACTATATGATCAGCGTTCCGTTTTTGAAGCACGGCCGCACCTACCTTTTCAGAATTACCGGTGAGGGCAAATACGGAAACAAATTGGAAGCGATAAGCAGAGAATATCACTTAGAAGTAATACCAAAGAGATTTACAAGAAAAAAGATAAAATTTATCCCGCTGTACGACTAATAATGCCTACTCAAAGGCCATTCAACTACACGACAGATAGGCCCGGACAACCGTTTGTACGAAAATTGGACGAGAAATATATTAGACTTCTCTGGTCCATACCCAGGGAAACTGACATTGAACCCATAATCGAGTACATAGTGCAGGTAAAATACCAGGGTCAAGGGGGCTGGTCACGGGCGAACCCACATAAAATTGTGGACACATTCTGTAACCTTCCGATGTTAGACGCGAAAATAACGGTTGAATTTCGTGTCATCGCTGTGACGACCGATGGTCACAGTAAGCCAAGTAAATCAAGTGGACTTATTAATTATACAGTATTAAAAGACGGTTAATGGTGAGGGTTAACCTCCAGGCTAGCCATGTGAAGGCATTGCTGGCTGTCCGGTGGAAGACCTTTTCAATCATAATTTTTCTTTAGTCTTAACCACTAGTTAATGTTACCAATAAGATTAATTCTATTATATTGAGTTTTGTTTTAATTTACGAATAATTGTTTTATACACACACATACACATTTTACACTTTTGACACAAAACATATTTTGATTACATATTGCGTTATGTAATTTGCAGACTCTTACTTTCAGTTGTGATTGAAGAGTAGTTTCAGTACTGATGTGGAAAGTCCTCTACTAGAAAATACTCGAGAACTCTACTAGAGGCGTTGGTGGTCAAGTTTAGTGCTGTGACACCAATTGATTTTCAAGTTGATAGGTGGATTCAACTTTATTTTGAAGACTGCGATCTTCATGGTGTGGTGATTTCGTTTAATTGACGTCAAATGTTCCGCTTAACGGTGAAGCAGAGAACGCGGAAATAATTTAAGGCCTAATTTAATAATAATTAAAGCATGCTTTTGTTTGAATTTATTAATGTAATGACTATTCTGTCGATCGGGGACGATCAACAGGGATTGGATGGCAGTTGTAACCGTGTTTATCTACCAGTACACTGTTTAGTTAGTTATAGACATGTTTGGTAAGGTATGTGACATACAGTTCCGTCCCACACTGTTATTGGACTGACGGTTGAGTTGGTGCGCACAACTCAGCTGTTGGTGGGGTATAACCAGAGAGGGTGGGCGAGTGAGGAAAACAGAACAGTTTCTAGATGTACGGTAACAACTCGGTTCCGCCGCCATCAAATTACCTATAACCTTTATTGTTGTATTTTTAATTGTGAGTTTAGTTGTGTTTAAAATAAATATAGCCTATGAGTGAATAGTATTGTATAATCATTGTGTTGGCAACCGAAACTACGACTGGGAATTGGTTGGACGACCGCCCGATAGGGAGAGGTCTCTGAAGACAACAATAGGACGAGTGAAGAAACGATGGAGAAGAAGCCGACGACGTCTGACCAGAAGAGGA